CATCTGATCCACATCTTGTAAGTAGTCCCTTTGTAAATAAATGCTTTTCAAATTATTTTACACTGAATGTACTATTTTCTGGAAGGACCCTAAAAATACTCATATATAATAAATATCACTGGGTGAAGAATGAAAGTCAAAGCTATCTAGCATCCTGTCAGAAAAAAAGTACTCAGGTTTGTATAGCATAATACCCAAAACTTTAGTGACTACAAATTGAATTTAAGTCTTACTGATATTTAAGAACAACAATAAGAAAAGAAAGATATGGAAGTATAACATGTAAGTGGCAGCTTGCTTGCATTCTCATAACTGGATCAATTGAATATCAAGACATTACATTTGAAGTTTGCTTAACAGATATTGAGTATATAATAATAGAAATGTCTGCCCAATCAATTTAGAGTTACTATTATTTCCTTAGATTATGTCTATGCAGAGGACTATTTGACTTTTTTTTTTCAGAGAGCATGGGGGAAGAGAGGAACTAGAAATGTAAAGTTTGTAATTTAGGATGACATGCTTGTTGGTCTGACATAATGAAACTTGGTCTACTGTGCTCATTTTAAGACATAATAATTAGTGACGAATTCTGAAACTAGCAAGGGGATCCACAGTAGGTGAGATAAAGGATTATTAAAATACAGATGCAGACAATTTAATGATTCTGAGCTATTAAACTAGAGATATTAGGAGAAAGCTTAATGGTGATTCTTAATATGTGTATTGCATTTATATAATAAGTACCAGAGTTGTTAAAAGTTTTCACTAAGATTAAGACTAGACTGAGAATGGGTTTAGATTGAAATCAGGAATCCAACAATATGTTGACTATAATGAGTGGCTAAACATTGGGTTGACTTACCAAGAGCACTTACAGGCATCATGCAACAGAAGTTATTCAGGACTACTCAATAGTCTTGAACAGAAGTCTATTCAAGGCCTAACTGCAAATTTACACAACAGAAAAGGCATGAGTAACTAAAGAAGCCATGATAAAATAGCAATTTCTGTCATTCACAAAACATCCTTAATCCTATATATAAATTAACCCATAAGTTATTGGTCATAAAGTTAAGTTATAATACGTGTACACGTACTCAGAGAGATTGTAGAATAGCCTTTATTGAGAAGGCTGAAATTAGGATAATCCCAATGTATAATACAGCTTGGGCACCCTGTCTAGCGATAAAAAGATGAATCATGGTGTTTACAGCTCGAGAAGTCTATGATTCATTAATGATTATCTGAAGTGTCATCCAGAGAACACATACGGTGTGTGACTGTATATATATGTCAACAAAGGTCAGGACAATGGCATATCTCCACGCTAAGTTACTCTCCAAAAACAAGATGAACCCAAAAGCATCGGCTTTTCTCAGTTGTGACTCTACCAATCAATTTGTATTGACTAGCTTCTATGTGTCCAACTCTCCGCTGGAGATAATGAGAAAAACAGAAACATTATCTTAAAATATTTACTCTCTGGATGAAAAATTATAAAATAAGCCAAGACAAACCAAATATTTTTAAATAATGTGACACAGTTTTGTAAAAATTTAGGAATGGTAAAATTTTGTTAAATTAATGATAATAATAACAACAATAATAGTTAATACATACTGACAGCCTACAATGCCAGACACATAGTAATTATCACTTATCATTATTTATGATTACTATGTTCCATGCACTGTGACAAAAATTAACTTCACCATTTCATAATCATCATCATCATCATCATATAAATTGGGTACTTTCTTTTTCTGAGATGGAGTTTCGGTCTTATAGCCAAGGATGGAGTTCATTGGTGTGATCTCAGCTCACCAGAACCTCCACCTCCTGGGTTCAAGCGATTCTCCTGCCTCAGCCTCTTGAGTAGCTGAGACTACAGGCATGTGCCACCACACCCGGCTAATTTGATATTTTCAGTAGAGACAGGGTTTCTCGATGTTTGTCAGGCTGGTCTCAAACTCCTGACCTCAGTTGATCCGCTCACCTCAGCCTCCCAAAATCCTGGGATTAAAGGCGTGAGCCACTGCACCTGGCCATTAGGTACTATTAATAACAAAAAAAACAGCCGGGCGTGGTGGCTTAAACCTGTAATCCCAGGACTTTCAGAGGCCAAGGCAGGCAGACCACAAGGTCAGAAGATCGAGGCCGACGTGGTGAAACTCTGTCTCTACTAAAAATACAAAAAAAGTTAGCTAGGTATGATGGCCCCAACTACTCAGGAGGCTGAGGCAGAAGAATCTCTTGAACACGGAAGGCAGAGATTGCAGTGAGTCGAGATCACGCCACTGCACTCTGGCCTGGCGACACAGCGAGACTCCATCTGAAAAAATAAAAAAAAATTTTAAAAGTCAACAATATATCATACATGTATGAATAAACAGGTGAATTACTAAGTGAAAAAAAATGGGGCTCAGAAAGTTTAAACAACTTGCCTAAGTTCATGAGACAGAAAGATTTGAAATTTAAGCTGAACCTGAAAATATGAGCAGATTTGGGGCTAGAGAGGAAGAAGGAAATGCCAAGTATGGGGACTTGAAAGAGGAAAGGTACAGAAGCACAATGAGCCTACATGTTAATGGGAAAAAGAGACAATAAGTCTGACTAGGACAGGGACCATCTGTAGTGAGGTATTAGAAAGTACATCTTAATATTGAATGAGGACAGTACACTTCCTTGCAGTCTAGAAAGAAGAGTTTGGATATGATGTAACAATGTAGACATGACTGTAAACAAAATGACATGAGGAAAGTGCTGTTTAATAAAGGTGTAAACAGACAGCATTAAGCAGTTTGGATCTGACAGAAAAAATCTATCATTTATGCAGGAAGCATTTGTAACAGTCTAAACTAGAATTCTGAGGGTCTGCATTTTGGTAGTTGATTGCAAAGGAGATAAAAAGGAAGTAATGAACAAAAAATATTTTGAAAGAAAATATGATTATAGAAGTAAAGGGAAAAGACAAAGTAATGAATAAAAGCATGTTTAGTGGGAAAGTGTATCAAATGATAGTTTTACTAAAAGAAAAATAAATATAGAATGTATTGTTTTCCTTTACTAAAAGATAAATAGAAATAGATGAGAATTGGAAAAAAAATTTGTATGAGTTTGAGGTGATAGTGTTATATCCAAATGTAGGTATTCTATACATCAGTGAAAAGACTGAACTAGGATACAGGTGCAAAATCAGGCTTAGAGATGTAGAGTTTTACATTACAATATGAAAAAGAGGTGAGGCACCTGAGACCAATATAGTAAGCACAATTAATGGAGAAGAGGGACCAAGTTTAAGTTGTGATTATGAAATTTAACTAGAGGAAGTCACTTAACATCTCTGAAACTCAGATATTCCATGTTTTAGTGAAGAAAATAGTATCTACTTCACACACTTTGTTTTGAGCACACAAAATGAAAGGGCCTTGCAAAAATAAAGCTATATTAATTTAGATATTGTGATGTAAATTCGTGAGAATAGAAGGATGGAAATTTTAAACTATGTATTTCTTCCGAGTTGAGAGTTTAGCCTTCCTTCCTTGATCAAAGATCCACATTTTGCTGTACTATGAAGTGGATAACTCATTATTATAAGCAGACATTAGAAAGCTGGTTGGCCTGTCTGTTTCTGAAACACAGTAAAAATAATGCTGAAGTCTTTCTAAATCCTGGAAAAGCATTTGAATAATCATCTTTAGGTTTTGTTTAATTGAAGCAATATAATTTTAATCAGAAAATAAAGGAATAAATTAGAAAAATTTCTGATTCAGAAGATTTCTTATGGCATACTTATGAGTAAACAAGCATGTTAAATATGGCTTATATTTATTCTGTATTATCACAGTTTTCAACCTTGAAACTGCATAATACTAAATTATAAAATGAAACATTTAGACACGATGTTTGATTTAAGGATACATAATCCATTTTTTATATTTATTTTACTTCTTAAAGTTACTGTTTGCACTGAAATAAATAATCCCTCTTTAGGGGAAAAAAACATAGATGCTCAAGCAGAGTAAGAATTCTTACAGAAGCAGGACTATATATATTTTGTGTCCTTAGATTATGTTTACAATATCAATATTTTATTGGTAAAGATTGAGCTGAAAAATATTTTTATCTTCTTTATACATTTTGATTGGATGAGACCTGTGCATCTTGATATACATTTTCACTTGCTTTTTTTTCCTTTCCTCCTTTATTTTTGGTATGTTAGTCGAGGTGTGAGCTTTTTATTGTAAATGTCACAGATGTCACTTTTCCTTTTCCCAAATGTATTTGAAAGGAAATGAGGAAATTATCTCAGTTTTCACCAGTATGCTTGAGTGTCCCCAGCACAGGGAATATTTCTTAATTCAGCTTTGCAGTCCCAGCACCTTGGACAGTACCCGGCTCAAAATTGTCTTTAATATCTATTTGGGAACATGAATGATTTTGTCGTGATACCATATTTGTTTTATATGTGTCTAAAGATAATAATGACCAGAGCTTGAGCATGTTTTTATTTTGCTGTAATAATTGCTTGTATGCAAACTACTCCTAAATTGTTATTTCACTTTTAATGCAAGATCATCACTTGGGAAATTCAATCTCTTAAACTAAAATTCATGTTAGCACAGAATATTATTTCAAGATATCGTCTTCCTTTTTACTTGCAAAACCATCAGATAAATGTAAGACAAATTAAATTTTAAAATGCCTTTTCAAAAGCAGTGCTTACTTTTATTCCCATACTCAAGCTCACAAAGGAATTCTTAGAGGTAGAAGGGAGACTCCCATGCCCCCCACAAGAAGAAACTGAAAAGAAAAAGATAAATTTCTACTTAAATTTTAAAAATAGTATTACTGTGAAACAGTATGGGTTAGTATAAATTGTAAAGACATGTATGTTCTGAATTCCTCTTTTTAAATAAATTCCCTTTTAGGCTGATATAGTACATTCTTCCTGGTTTCTGTTATTGTTCCCATGCACTACCGTAACGATTTTATTTTCACGGTGGAAACTGGCACTCAGTAGGAAACAGGAAAATGTACTGAGGGCAAACCCCTCTGTAAAGGATCTCTGTGGGCGGATATTTATTTCGGTTTGCACTAAATTAGTCTTAGCTTCGCAAAAACCCTTTGTCTGTGGGACGGTGGGTCCCACCATGGCAACCATTATCTATTCGTGGAAACGACATCTGATGACTCCGCCCGGGCTGGGGGTGGGGAGGGAGCACCGCGTGGAGAGCTCGACTGAGAATTAAAGTGAGTGAACAAAGAGAACTCCCAGCAGCCGCCCGCCCGCGCCTCGCAGCTGCACCAGGAGACGTCAGTCACGCCCGGAAGGCTGTTCCAGTCCGCCTCCTTGGAAAAGGAGCTCAAGTAAATAATTGATGGAGATTGACCGAACCCAGGACAAAGCTTTGCAGGAAACCAGTGCATCCGTGTTCAAGCGGTTTTGGAATCCTCTGCGAAGTACAAGATGAAAGAATAGGCCAGGACTTTGAGCGCTGCTGCCAATCTTCCATCTCGGGCGTGGCTCTGGCCTTTTTTGTCTCTTTATTCTGCCACTCCCCACCCCCGCCCCCGCCCCCGTCTTCTTCTCTTTCCTCTTGAAAGTAACCTCTCTTCGGTTACTTCTACCCTGTCTTCCCATGCAATCCCGCCCTCTCCCCTGCCCAGTCCGGTGAGGTCAGCTCATGAATATCTCTGCACTTCCTAGGGAGCGTCTGGCTCAGCTTGGTACCTCTCGTGTTAGCCTGCTGAGAACCGCAGCTCCAGCCCAGCCGCGGACCTCCGGGAAGTCACCCGCTCTGGGGACAGCTGAATCTTGACGTTACCGCCATTGTTTGGAAAAATCGAGTGGGTGTGGAGCTGGGGTGAGCAAGCCCAAAGTCGCATACAATAATACGAAGTTGAACTTTCCTCGGCGCAGAAAGGCACAATAGTAAACCCTGACATCTCCGGAATATCAGAAGGAAAGTGCTGTTGATTTGCATCAACTACTTGGAAACCTCGCCTTTGCTGAGAAGTGAGCAAGTTCTGTATTTCTAAAGGGTTGGGGATGAAAGATGGGGTGGGCTAGCAGGAGGATAAAACTTGAGATTAAAAGTGTTGGTCTAAGCCGTACCGGGGTTGGTTGGGTGGCAATTTTCACCGGGAAAGCCTTGAAGAGATGCAGCATCTTGTCACTTTGTGGGAACCACGTAACAGCAGCCAGATATATTTGATTGTGGAGCCCAGATACTGGAACGCAAGCTTTCTCCTGGGTTAATGCTGTCTGGGAGCTGAGTTTAGACATTGCCTTCTCAGCTTTGGAATTATTATGCCTGATTAAAAACAAAAATAAATTTGCATTGGCAATATAAGTTAGTTAGATAGCCCATGTTAGTGTCACCCATGATGATAAACTAGGCCAGACATTCTAGCAGTATTGTGGCTGAAAGAGAAGATGTAGAAGCTAAGTTGATGGGCAAATTTTTCCCCCAATATCTTCTTTGTTCACCGTTATATTTCAAAGTGAGTTGGAAGGAGATGCCAGGAACAGAAAGGGAGGTGGATTAAGAATCCTCCAGTAATATTCCTTATAAAATGAGGAATTACTGCATGCTAAGTTCTGATGCTAAAAGGAGGTGTTAACAAGAATAATGCAAGTAAAATAACTGGCAGTAAAGTAACCTCCTCTCTGTATAGGACAAATATTTTTAAAGCAGCAACTTATGCCTAGTCATGCCCCTTTCAGCGGTTTAGACAGAAATAATTTTAAGGAAAAGGCAACTAATTGACTAGCTGCCTGGATCACTAGGGAGAAGAACCCGCAAGGCAGTAGCTTGCTGTTTTCCAGATTAATGAAGCTAGTGATGGATTTATCTTGGAAATATACACGCTGGAAATTGATCTTACCACCATGAGGGAAGATGGGCCAGGCTTCTGGGTTCCGTTTCAGAATTTGGCTACATAGGAGGGAATGGGCACTTTAAAAAGTGCAACTTTGCCTATGATATGCAATGTAAGAAGATGGGTAAGAATGAAAATATTTTCTATCTAGCAATTACACTTAAAACTAAAGCGATTCATAAGGACTACAAAATTGGATAAGCTTAGGAAAATTCATCACCAGAAACTTGAGAAACTGCAGAACTGACCATCACCTTTTCAAAATGTATTTTAAAAATTATTTCCCAAAGGAGAGAAAGTACTTTTTGGGGTTGCTAATAACTAACCCATATAGACAATTCTTAATGCTGCTATTTTCTTGGGAAACTGAGACTAATTTAAAGCCATTATTTATATTTTATTTTAGTTCTATTATAAAGGAAATTGGGTGCATTTCCCCAAAAACAATATTAGGGGTTGGAGCTGCTTGGGGAAAGTGTCATTTATCCATAGAAAGTTTTCTCTAGGAGCACTACATCATAACCCTTTTCCTCTAATTGAACTTGGGAATATTAATTAAATGGAAACTTTCTGCACTAAACTAGGCTTTACATACAGATTTGATGGTGAGGAAAGCCAAAGTCGTAAAAGCACGGATTTTACAACCCTAATATATGGATATCTTTCCTTTCTGAAACTTCTTTTCGACTTTATCCTCTTTTCTTTTATATCTCCCTTCCCATTGATTGCTGTCTGACTCTGTATCTCTCACCCTTTTCAAAACCTGCTACCATGAATGTGTAAGGTTCAGCTGCTTTCAGATTCGTCATTTTGCTGAGGTGAAGTGAGATGGAGACAGCGCCCCCCTGGGCAAAATGAGAACTGACAGCGCTGCATCCTATTCCTAAAGACAGCCCTGAATCCTATTCCTAAAGTCAAAGCTTCTATTAAGTGCCTTCCAAATCTCAACATTTTCTGGGGCTTCTCTTGTAGAGCAATGTCACCCTTTGCTTTGCAACAAAGCAGACATGTTGTGTTCTTCTCTTCTTTTCTTTCTGTCCCAGCTCAGGGAAGGAAGATTGGCGGCGGTGAAGAGGGAAGAGGATGCTCTAGTAATGGGCTATTCCAAATCGCATCTGGTAGGTTCTTCCTAGACAGCCATGAGTCAGCCACCGACCGGGGGCGCTGCCCCTGCCACAGCAGCAGCTTCTCCCGCCGCTGCAGCCACTGAGGCTCGTCTGCATCCGGAGGGCAGCAGCAGAAAGCAGCAGCGAGCTCAGTCACCCGCTAGACCAAGGGACAATTCGCTGCGACAGACAACCGCGGGCACCCGGTCCCCAGTGGGGGCCGGCACTAAACTCAATTCTGTTCGGCAGCAGCAGCTGCAGCAGCAGCAACAGCAGGGTAACAAGACAGGGAGCCGCACAGGGCCGCCCGCCGGCGCCCGAGGAGGCGGAGGCGGGGCCGAGAAGGCGACGCCCCTGGCGCCCAAAGGGGCCGCTCCAGGAGCTGTCCAGCCGTTGGCTGGTGCTGAAGCGGCCCCCGCCGCGACCCTGGCAGCTTTGGGCGGCAGGAGGACCGGACCGCCCGAGGAGCCGCCTCGGGAGCTAGAGTCCGTGCCCTCGAAACTAGGGGAACCCCCTCCGCTCGGGGAAGGGGGAGGAGGGGGCGGGGAAGGAGGAGGAGCCGGCGGCGGCTCCGGGGAAAGGGAGGGGGGCGCTCCGCAGCCGCCGCCGCCCAGGGGCTGGCGAGGGAAAGGCGTACGCGCTCAGCAGAGGGGCGGCAGTGGCGGGGAGGGGGCCTTCCCTTCGCCATCCTCCTCTTCTGCGGGCAAAACCCCAGGACCCGGCAGCAGAAACTCCGGAAGCGGTGTTGCGGGGGGCTGCAGCGGTGGTGGAGGGAGCTACTGGAAGGAGGGATGTCTGCAGTCTGAGCTCATCCAGTTCCATCTCAAGAAGGAGCGGGCGGCAGCGGCGGCGGCCGCGGCTCAGATGCACACTAAGAACGGCGGCGGCAGTAGTAGTCGCAGCTCTCCGGTCTCTGGCGCCCCTGCCATTTGCGAGACCCTGGCCGTCCCCTCCGCCTCCCCAATGGCGGCGGCGGCGGAGGGCCCCCAGCAGAGCGCAGAGGGCAGCGCTAGCGGCGGGGGCATGCAGGCGGCAGCGCCCCCTTCGTCGCAGCCGCACCCGCAGCAGCTCCAAGAGCAGGAAGAAATGCAGGAGGAGATGGAGAAGCTGCGAGAGGAAAACGAGACTCTCAAGGTGAGGAGGGTAGGGGGACCCGGCTGGGGGATGGGAAGAGTAGGCCTGGGAGGATTAGGGCGTGTCCCGGCGGGGGTGAGAGGCTGCTAACCTGTTAGGGAGCCTTGAAGAGGGAAGAGAACAGCAAAGGAGGGAGGGGGTTTCCTAGGCCTTGTCCAAATTTGAAACGGAATCTGCTTCTCAGTAACGCGAGGTTTTCATTTAAATTCAAATCCGGGCCTCCGTTTCTCCTATTATAATGGTTCGCCACACTTTTTCCTGGAGAGAGGTAGAGTAAGAGAACGAGAGAAGGCCTAAAGTCGGCCTTTTATTCTAGTTTCCTCTTTTACACTCAGCTCGTCACTCCTGTCTCGTGGAGAGGGGGCAATTAAAGCTGAGAATTTGGAATTGGAATGGGGTGTGCACGGTGTGTGTCGGAAGGGCTAGAAGCGAGGCTGATTTTGACTCGCGGCCTGTCACCGCCTCAGAACGAGATCGATGAGCTGAGAACCGAGATGGACGAGATGAGGGACACTTTCTTCGAGGAGGATGCTTGTCAACTGCAGGAAATGCGCCACGAGTTGGAGAGAGCCAACAAAAACTGCCGGATCCTGCAGTACCGCCTCCGCAAAGCCGAGCGCAAAAGGCTCCGCTACGCCCAGACTGGGGAAATCGACGGCGAGCTGTTGCGCAGCCTGGAGCAGGACCTCAAGGTCTGCGGCGCGGGGGCTCGTTGGCGCGCGGCAGGGGCGGCGGGTGGGGACTTTGGCCAAGTGCTCTTTAGGCTGAGAGGTCTTCGGTGGCATCGGGCAAGGAGCCTAAGGGACAGTTTCTTAGTGCTAACCACAAAATACTAGGGTCTTGGAAGGGAGAGAACTGGCAGATGGGTCTAAAGAGTGCAGTGTGTGTGGAGGGCCTGGCAGCAGACGAGCTAAGTGTGCTCTCCTGGGAGCAACGGTGGCTCCTCAAGAAGCCTCCCTTCTGGGCAGAAGCAAGGGCGTGGCAGAGCGCAGGCTCTAGCCTTTGATCTGGCTTTCAGTATGTCTTCTGAGAGAAGGCCGGTGGAATCCGGCACTCAGGAGCCGCGCTAAAAGGACTCCTCTGGGGAAGTTGAAACCCACAATAGGAACTGCACTGGGAAAACACTAGACTTAAGATTTCTTTCAGCAAGTGTCCACCCCACCTCCTTCTTTCAGGACTTCTTCCTTTCTGCACTTGCCGCTTAGGTAACTCCGTGGGGGAGGTGGTGGGAGTGGGGGCGCTGGGAAACTGCCTGTTTGGTGTGAAGTAAATGAAAGAATCTCATTTTTTAAAGTAACGTTGCTCCTTCAGAATTTCTTCTAGAGGAAAAACCTCAACCTTGAAGTGCATTTTCTAGACAGGTGTGGTCTCCAGTTTGACTGTAGGCAGAGTCATCGATAATGCAAACTAGGTATTAACCTAATCTCCTTCCACAACCAAATAAATACACTGTTCATTGTATTAACTTCATCAGGATTTAAAAATCACGTGTAATTATTCTTTGTTTTAAAGAAAACTGTGTAAACATTTTATGAAAGACATCGTATTCCTTTTTTTCTTAACATTTGTTGAGTGTTTAAACAGTCAACAAATGTTAAGGAAAAAAAGCACTGTGGCAAACATTGTTACATACATTATTAATTCATTTAATTATCAAGGAAAAAAAATCCTATAATGTAGGGATTGTTAAGTCACAATTTTACAGGTGCAGAAGCTACACGTTTTACAGAGGTTAAGTGCCCAGGCCTGGAAAACAAATAGGTGCCAGGCTCACTGTCCACCCAGTCCAAAATCACAACCTGTGTCCTAAGCCTCTACACTATACTGCTCCACTTTTCTTTCAAACCCTAGAATTTCCAGGATAATCTCAAAACATGAAGCAAAAATGCACAGTCATTCAAAAAATAATAATCTCAAGTACTAAAATGATTCCTAAAATTAAGCAAATGGAATTCTAGTTATAAGAGTGAAATTCAACCCCAACCCACTATTGTAAAAACTTCAATTTTTTCATTCTTTAACATAGATTATAATGGAAACATCTACCTCATTGTTTTGTTGAAGTAAAGGACATTTGTGAAATTTCTTTACATGTGATAAAATGCAATAGAACATTTGTTACCACAGGGTAGTGCAGAAGTTAAGGGAACAAAATTTAGAGCCAGATTGCCAGGCTTCTTAGCCTGGCAGTGTCTACTTGTTAGCTGTGTGACCTTGACCTCTCTGAGACTGTGTCCTCATCTACAAAATAGCAGTAATAATCTTACCTATCTCATAGGATTTTTGTAGGGTTAAATGATAGATATATGTGAATGGCTTATATGTATAGTTTGTGGAGTAATGCCTTGAACATGGTAAACATCACATAAACATTGGATCTTAATGCTTTGAATAGGAATAAAATTTTAGCCCTCATTATATTGTCATTAATTGTATTTTATTGTTTCAAACACCTTAATTCAGGTTGCAAAGGATGTATCTGTGAGACTTCACCATGAATTAGAAAATGTGGAAGAAAAGAGAACAACAACAGAAGATGAAAATGAGAAACTGAGGCAACAGCTCATAGAAGTTGAAATTGCAAAGCAGGCTTTACAGAATGAACTGGAAAAAATGAAAGAGGTTAGTATTTGATTATTTCATGGTGTACTATGTATTTGTAGTCATTTAGAAAAGAATCCCAAGGACTAATATGACTATTAAAAATTTCTTTTATGATGGCAGGACAATTTTTTACTCTCACTCAAATAGTAAAAATACATGATTTCATACTAATAACTGAGTAACAACAAATGAGATTCTGACCTAAACACTGTATCTAACTTAACATGTGTGATGAACTTTGATCTCTGTGTTTCATCTCTGTGTCTTCTAAATGTACGTTAATTAAATAAATTACACAGCATACTAAATGCAAAGGGTGTCAAGAGTGTGAAGGAATGAGCCTTGTGATTGTTGAGGGGAATAATTAGCCCCATGAGATTACTATTGAGTTCATAGAACCATGAATTTTTAGAATGGAAAAGACTATAAGGTCCATTTGGTCTAATTCAGTCATTACTTGAATTCTCTCTACAGCTAAGCCACCCCTTCCCACAATGGTCTAATGCTTAGAATATCACCAGTGACTATCCCTGAACATGTTTCAGAGTAGTTAATTATATCATATCACAGCTCTGTTTAAAGATTTTTATTTTTATTTTTTTTTTTACATTGGATATATTTACATTGTAACATTAGCCAGGTCATCTTAGTTCTACCCTTTAGGGAAGAAGAATCAAAGTTCTCCATCATGTTAGCTATTTGAAGATTCCAAACACATATATCGTGAGTATTCTCAAAGAACAGAATCAGGATAAAGAAATGGAGGAGTAAAGAGACAGAAACATCTATCAGGAAATGATTCACTTTAAGATAAATAGCAATTTAATTAGAATTAAATTATACTTTTCTTTGATAGCTACCTGCACATGTACAATGCAACTTGTGAAAAGTACCATTGAGAATTAGCAAACACACAAGTTGCCTTGTGAACAATTTCCTCTGCTTGGATAAGCAGAATTCTAAAGAAAATCCTAATTGTTCCACAGACTAACTGAGGTATTGACTCACCTGTCATTGTTGTGCTTATCTCAAAATGGTACAAAAATATATCTACCATATAATAGTGAACATGTCAACAGTCTGACTAAGAATATGTGTTAGGACTTTGCAGAATACAGCTTCAGTGGAGTAAACTATTTTTTGTGGTCTGTTTACTTATATTATCCTGACTTTAAACTATTTTTTAACATGATGAAATAGTAAAAAATTATTTTAATGATATGAAATCCTTGGCTACTGCCAGGAGTTGCTCTGTGCTATAGTAGAAAAACATAGAGACTGGGAGCAGTGTGATCTATTTTCACCTGTAACTGGGTGACTTTAAAAGTCCTGTAACTTCTTGTCTACTTTTATCCAGTTCTAAACTGTAAAGGTCATTTTTGACGATTCTCGACACCTTTGATAGTATATAAGACTTTTCTCATGAAATTCAGGGCATCGCCATTTAAGGAATGGCAGAGATTTTTTTTCCTAAAGTTCCTAAAGTTAAGAGCTCAAATATGAAATTAATATAGATATAAGTATATATTTCTTCAGCAATGTACAGTCGAAGATGTGTCAGAAATTGACTTTCATTTAGAGAAAAAAAAAAGTAATAGGTAGCTGTATTAGTTCTCTAGGATTGCTGTAACAAAATACCGAAAACTGGGTGGCTTAAACAGCAAAAAAATACATTGTCTCACAGTTCTGGAATCTAGAAGTCTGGAATCAAGGTGATGGTAGGCTGGTTCTTTCTGAGGTCTGTGAAGGCAGGATCTGTTCCAGGCCTCCCTCTTTGGCTTGTAGATGACCATCTTCATGTTCACATGGCATTCTCCCTGTAGCTGCATGTTTCCAAACTCCCCCTTCTTATAAGGATACCAGTGATATTAGATTAGGGTTACCCTAAGGACCTCATTCGACCTGCCTGGGCTCAAGCTATTCTCCCATCTCTGCCTAAGAACTGGGATTACAGGTGTGAGCCAACATGCCTGGCCCTCATTTTAATTTGATTACCTCTGTAAAGACCCTATCTCCAAATAAGATTACATCCTGAGCAACTAGGGGTTAGGACTTCAATATGTGAATTTGACAGGGAGGACAGAAAGAAGGAGAGAACAGAATTCAGCCCACAGCAGCAACAATCTAATAGCTTCCTATGAGCAAGCAAAGAGTTGATTGTCGGTCTCATAGGCTCCATTTCCTGTTCATAAATTACTTGTGTTCTCTCATATTCCTTGTTTATACAATTTAAAACATTAAAGTACAAACAAACTTCGCTTGATTACCAGAGATAAAAAAAGAAATGCCTTGTAATTTGGTGTCATGTGAATGTTTCAGGTGGTTATCTAAAAACTGTACTTAAGAATGGCATAAAAGCTTTCTGATTTTCATTGTACATCCATTAAAGGGGGAAATATTCATAGACTGTCTATCCATTAGCCAGAATGGTGGGACCTCTCCCATCTTATAATAAAAGCCAAAATAATCTGGCCACTAGGAGGAAGGGGTAGAACTTGGGAATGTCCTCAGGAGATTGTAAAGACGCACTTCCTTGAGTCTTGTTCACACACTTTCCTGTGACTATTTCCTCCTTCAGGGCTCTAATTCTGGGTTGGGAAAATGCTGTTCCAGCACCAAGCAGTGTGGGTAGATATGTTCATACCAAAGAGGCAATTTAATTCTCCTTGGAGTTATAAAAAAACAAATGCTAATGCCTGATTAAGGAATACAACAATAAAAGTAAAAATAATATAGGAGCTTATATGCAGAATATCAGCCTTTAAAGTAACCCTTTATTAGGAAAATGGCATTCATGGTTTGAGAATATGGAAGGTGATGGGGAATAGAAACAGAAAAATAGAGGAAGGGAGAGAGTGGAAGATAAAGATTTGGAGGATACTAAATGTAATAAAGGCAAACAAAATAAATTCTGGTAGCAGTGCTCTATAATTATTCATTTGAGGTTGTCTTTCATAGTGTTCAGAAAAATGTCAGAAGTAGAAAAAGTAGTTTAACAATATGTTTAGAAATCAGAAATGTTTCATTCAGATAAGATTTTTGCAATAGTGATTTTATGATCCTCTAAGAAGAAAAATATTAAAACTGAGCTGCAGTAATAACTGGCTTACTCTGTGGATAAGAGTTGTAAGTTTCCCCTTGGATGACTTGCCACAACTTCAGTTAACCATCTGCTTCATTGGTTGCAAAATGAAAACATATTCAAGCCCTTGGTGGGTGTTAACCAACTTGGTTAACTTGTTAAGTGATGAATTGTCATCCCTTTGTGCCATTGTTTTAAAGGAGAAAAGTAGAACGAGGCCAAGCTCTCCGTGAAGAGAAAAGACACTAGTTATAGAGTAAAATCGTAAAATATTAAATAGAATATACTCAAGAGAAGCAGTCCTCTAATTCCAAGATTTTAGATCTTTATATGGAGTCATATAGATGTTGAACAGCACCACTGAGACCAATAAACCATTTGCTAGAATTTGGAACTGTTTACTAAGAATTTAACTAGCTTCAAGAGTATTGATCAATTGGTCTCAGGATTGGTGGCTGCACACGGTCTTATGCACCTCCTCATATCTGCCTATCTTCTCGTCCTGAGAGGATGGAGTAGGCACCTGGAAGTAAGAAGAATTGAGTAGAGGCACGATGGAAGAAAGTAGCTGCATCTACTGCATCTCATTGCTTGTATTGAAATGGTTGATATTTCACCAAAGGCAAACAAGAGGAACCTCTTCGAATGCTGCCCTTGAATCTTAATAGCATTTTCATCCCACTTATAAAACATTCATTGCCACTAACAGTATGTTTTCTTGCTGTAGAAGAATGCCTTTACCTTTCTGTAACCTGTAGAAAATGGCATTCTATCTTTCAACATTGCAAATGATCAAAGAGACAGAGGTTTTTGTTAGTTATTTTATGCAAACAACAACTAGGTCTTTGAATGCCAGAATGGGTTCATGCACAAATAGGATAAAGTGCAGTTGTGGAGGAAGGTCTAGACAATGCATTCTCTGTGAGGGGTGATTTGTTCCAGTTAAATTGAGGATCACCATCTGTCATGTGGTTCTGCTGCTTTAGCAGTGAACTTTATTTTTAAAGCTTTGAAACTCCCTGTAATCCTCAAGAGAAGAGGGGTCATCTCATGTCACTTTTAAGGTCTGGTGCTTGATGAAGTGTTGATAACAGACATTTGAGCAAAGAATTTACCAACAGAGGAACAAAGAAAAGAAAGAGTAAGATGATGATGATGATAACTGTTTATCAGATCTTTTTTCTTTTCAGAATCTGTACTCTTTATATTGTCTCATACCTCACTGATACGCAAGATTCTTAAAAGACAATAATTTTCTTAACTTTTCCAGTCTTAACTGGCCTACTGAAATAGCACCATCTATCTTGGGACTTTTATTTTTTGTGCACTTAGCATATTAGGTCCTATCTATTACAATGAACTTTCATTCTAGAATGCAAAAATAATTAGTACTATAAATTTTAACAGCATCTCTGGTTTTTTTTTTTTTTTTTTGTATTTTAGAGTCCCTTGAGAGTATATTTATATACCCAGATTCCCTTCAAATGGAACACTTTAATAGGCAAATTCTTGTATTACATATTTACAATTATCTATTTATTTTCTTATATAAAATAAAGAACTGATCATAACTGCACTTGGTTCTAACAGGGCATGTTTACCTAAATAATAAAATGTGAAAAAGAAATGTTGAGTGACAAATCAGTGAAGAAGCAACTCAAGAGACAGTTTAATGGGGCATTTCTTACAAATATTTTCCCTTGGCTTTGGTAGTTTACTTAACATTTTAAAGTAAAACGGTAGTAATTGATATTTTTAAGTGAAATGGCCATAAATATATTTAGATGCATCAATTAAACACTATAATTTTAGTCATATCTTCTCAGAGCCAATAGTTTGTTGAATAACATAGGCAGGAATGAGACTAAATTAAAAATAAGGAAGAGTGTCAGGTAAGCACAGAAAAGCTTGCCTTCCAGGAAGTCACCATATGTTA